CTGTAACTAGTAGCAGGAGACAGAGGAGTGGCCTGCTGTGATTGATGGGGCGAGGCCCAGCAAGCTGAAAGAGCCCCATCTGGATTAGGTTTTGGGAGCAGTCAGATGTTGAGAGGGAGGTCAGTAAACCCTGGATTAGCTCCCCCTCCTCGAACACCCCTATCATCCACACTCTTACACACATTACATTGCTTACACGCCCTCATCCGTAATTGATGCTTGCTTTGGGCAGATGCTGTATGGCCTGGGACTAGAGCAGCTGGCTAAGTTTATGGAGGAAAAAGGGAGCGGGATGGTACAGCAGGTATTTTCACTTTTATTTTCACTTGAAACTCTTGTTTTTTAGTCAGATCAAGGCATTTCCTTTAACCAGCTGTGCCACTGCACATAAGGCTTCTAATACATGTTTTGTGGCTTCATTTGCTCTGAGAGAAGGCAAACTGCAGCGGTGATTGTGTCTCTGCTGTGCTTGATATATCTGACAGAGCCTTTCGTATAAGCAGCAGGTTTACAGAGTAATGTTGCATTTTTCTTCTTTGTTTCCATGCCCTAAGGATATGATGCAGTTTGGCTCATTTAACTACAGTATGAGAGGCTTCCTCTAAATGTAAAATATCTCTTGCCAAAGAAACAGGATGCTCCAAACAGAAAATAGAGTAAAACAAACAATAAACTGTTAGTTAGACTTTAAAATGCAAGCAAGCAGAATGGTTTTCATTGAATAAATACATTTTTTGTGCTGCAAATGTGTTTTTAAAAAGGAACACTGCATAATATTTTCTGTACTCTGTCTTTTGTATACAAACATAACAAGCTTGCTTTATTATGTTTTGACACTTTTCATGGGTTTGTTAATTATGAAATCCTTTCAGAGCTGAAGATGCTAAAATGACAGGTTAAGATCTGAGGTACTAGGAGTATTTCAAATTCTAAGCTTTTCTTCAAGTGGAATAATATATATTAAATAGGAATGATTTCACTTACCTATATCGTTGGAATGCTTTCTTGTTTTGTTCTTTACAGTTCAGCATTTAACCAGAAAGCAATAAAGCTGGTTTTATACACTGCCACGTAAAGCATATTTTTCAGTTGAAATGTGGTTTTCATTAAACCTCGGGCCAGAACATTTAACTGAGCCTGACTGTCTGCCATCCTTTGTTCTTCTTTCTGTTGCCAGCAACTACTTTATTAAAAACCATGCGCAAAGCGAGCATTAAAGGGTCATTTAAACTTAAAGGTACTTGGAATTGAGTCCAAAACGACAACTTCTGTTTAGCCTCTAGTGTCTAGGTTGTATTAAGCAACATCTGTGTACTGTCATCCACAGTTTAGAGGTTGCCCTAATACCTGAGTTTGCAGGCTAAGTAAGGATCAATATTTCCTGTTGCTTTCAAGGCAATTTCATATTCTCAGTTTAGTGAATGAGATCGACTATTTCCTTTATTCATTTTAGTTCACTTATTTTAAAGGACACAGTGACATTCCATTTTAGGTGACTATTTAAAGAATTTTGATTAATTAGGATCCATACACCTTGTGTCACCTGGAATTTCTGTCAACCAAATGTTACCAATGTTAGTTTGCACGGTATTGTTCTTAATGTAAATTCATAATCTAAACAGCAAGCACTGGTGTGATGGCTACATAAATAGTAAAGAGTGTTTATACTCATGTGCTTTCATACTACTTTGTAATATTGTGTCTACTGAATTCATTATGATTCAAAAATTCACAGATTTTGAAGGCTGCAGAAGTTCTGCAGCTTCTAAGAGACTAAGAACTCAAATTTATTGTCATACTTTTTAACCTTATGTAGAATAAGCACGGTTTTCTTCTTTTTTTTTCCTCCAAATATATTTAATGAACATACTGTTTGGAATGATAACTTTGCATGCTAGCGTTCTACTCTAAGCATTTTCGTTTTCTTCTAATGGAAAGACTGCAAATTCCTGAATCTATAGAAGGGATGTGTGTGTGTGTGTGTGTATATATATGTATGTATGTATGTATGTATATGTATAAACCCCCAAAAAAACAGCAAACAACCAAAAAAATCTGAACCAACCAAGACATGCCTGACTCTTCAATTCCCATTTATTGAAGAATAGTCCCCACTATTAAGCAATTCAGATCTCAGCGTAGTGCATGCAGTGAATGAGGTAGAAGAGCCTCGGTGTGTGTCAGAATTTCCCATGCAGTTTGCCATTCTATGGTAATTCTAAATTGTGAATTGTTTGGAGTTGCTGGTGAGAAATCATATAAAAGCTCAACCCTCTTAATTAAATATTAGCTGTAATTAGCACTAAATGTGAATGCTTTGAATATTAATCAGGGTCTCATAGGGCTGTTGTCAATGTTAATGAGAAACAGTGGGTGGTCTCACAGCATCTGGTTTAGGACTCAAAGTAGTACAAAAACATGTAGATCAAATGCACCTGGACATATCTGTTGGTCCCTTTGTTATCATGATTGCTCTTTTTTGACAGCTGCTGACTCTAATGCCATGTTTAGTATCTAAGATAAACAAGTAGCCTAAAGACCATCAGTGCCAGTTACTGAGCTTCAAAGCCAGCATGGTGAAAAATGCTTATACAGGCAGAAGTTCGTTCTTACCATTTGCTGACATCAACCCTAAAACAGTTGATTAAGAAAAAAAAATCTAAGCTCCCCTGCCCTCCCTAAAGTTTTACAACTATTTATTTAACATTTAGTAAAAGTCTCTGGTGGAATCTATTCATTGCTGTTTTTAATCTGGATTTTGAGGTGAAGTAGAAGGAGATAAGAAAGGAGTCTTTCCATTGTAGTGCAAGAGAACATAAATATGCATTTGGAAGTTTTAAACCTCCCTTAAAATTTTTAACAGGCAAGCTGCAGTGTAATAATAACCTTGGAAACATTGTAATTTTATAGTAATAAAACTTACTGACTTAACCAAGTGAAGTATGTAAATAAAACTGTTTCATTTTAAAGACTGTGAATGGAGCGAGGTATACTACTTGCATAGGCCATGCAGTAAAAAAGTACCAAAGATCAGATTGAAATGGAGGAGGTTTTGATTGCTAATATAAAGTCTTCCCTTTCTAGGACACAGTGAATGCCTTTTACAAAGCAAAATGTAGTTTTCTCTTCCAAGTGTACCTTGTACCAAGCTTTGTTCCTGAAATGTGATTTTGCGAGTTTTTAAAAATTCCTGAGTTTAGGCCCAGTTGAGGTCAGGTCACCAATATCTGAGGTAGCTGAAATTGGCTGGAAATGTCCTTAGGTGTGAAAAGAACGACTTTTCTTCATCTAGCCTATTCCGAAATTAGGAAATCAAGATGAGTAGAAGTAAGTTGAATTGTTACAGTACTTCTGCATGCTTTGGTAGGAAAAGGAAAAAAATATTTTGAAAACAAATTGCATGCTTACTATTTTTTATAATTATAAAAAAATACTATTTTTTATAATTAATATTTAGAGGGATATAATTTAATCTTTTAAGCCAGTTAGCCCGTCTAAGTTTTGGAGTCCACAGTCCCTGTATTATCTGCCTGCAGTGCAATGTCATCTGTAACATCGTTGCTTGGACATAGTTTATACCTGAAGGATTGTGTTACATGTTTTCTTCCATAGTATCATTACAACTTGGGTTGAGCAGAGCATGCCAGTGATTAACCCCTTGCTCTTGGCTCTAGTGAGGCTGCACCTCAAGTACTGTGTTCAGCTTTGGGTCTATCACAACAAGAAAGCATCGCGGTGCTGAATTATGCCCAATGAAGGGCAGTAAAGCTTGTAAAAGGGCTGGAGCACAAGTTTTACTACAAGCAGCTGTAGGGAAGCTGGGATTTTTTAGCCTGGAGAAAAGGAGGCTCAATTGAGTCCTTATTGCTCTCTACAGCTACTGTAGAGGCGTACTGTACTGAGGAGACTGTATCGTGGTGGAGTTTAGTCTATTCTCCAAAGGAACTGTGATGGAACGAGAGGAAATGGCCTCAAATTGTGCCAGGAGAGGTTTAGGTTGGGTATTAGGAAAAATTCTCAGTGTTATGTAGCATTAAAACAGATTGCCCAGAGAAGTAGTTGAGTGACCATCCATAGAGGTATTTAAAAGATGTCTAGGTGTGATGCTTAGGGACACTGTTTACTGGTAGGCTTGCCAGTGCTAGGTTAATGTTGGATTTGATGATCATTGTGGTCTTTTAAAACATAAATTATTCTATGATACCAAATATCTCACAAATAAGCATGCTTGACTTTTCACTTTTGTATCAAGCATAAGGATGGATGTAGTTACGTAGAGATGAGATCTTTAATTTTATTTGTACAGGCATAGTGTAATATGGAGATGAATTACTACGGTCTTCAAGTATATATAACCTTGTAAGTTCTTATGTCTATTTCTTTTGAGAGCCAGTAACGTTAAAGAAAAAAAAAATCTATGTTAAATGGCGTTTTCCAGTTGATTTGTTTTTTAGATTCAAATGCTTGATATTGGGATTGAATCTGATTGTTTTTGCATTTGCGGTTTGCAGTTGTTCAGTACGTTGCGCCTCTGAATACTGTGTACGGCATTACTTAACATAAATATTTTCAGGTGTGTTAACAAAATACACCTCAGTTCTGCTCACAGTGCAGGGAGCATGTATTGAGTTCTGTAGGTGGTAAGTCAGAATGGATCCCAGGCTATGGGGTAACTTTACCAGAGCTCTGTATTGGCAGTTGCACTCAGAAACATACGGAATGAACTAAGTTTTGTCCATCTTTCTTGTTTGAGTTGAGACTTTAGTTGAAGTAAGATTTCTCTGGCATTTTGCAGTTAAGGAACAGTCTGTAGAGAACAGCAGATATTAATTGTAATAAGATTTAATAGTGTTAGGAAAGTGGATTTAATTCAGGTAAGAAATACTCTCAGGAAAACTAGTGTTGTGCCCTTTTCAGGCCAGCAATGCTTGCTTGCTTGCTAAACTATTTTTATCTCGTGACACATTTCTTCCTTTTTTTTTCCCCTTTGATCTTCACAGGGTAATCAGGAAGCTACAGCACCTCCTGACACAATGGCACAGCCTTATGCCTCAGCCCAGTTTGCTCCTCCTCAGAATGGTATACCTGCAGAATACACAGCCCCACATCCTCATCCAGCTCCAGACTACACAGGCCAAACCACTGTTCCAGAGCACACATTAAACATGTACCCTCCTGCTCAGACACACTCTGAACAGAGTGCAGCTGACACAAATGCACAAACTGTCTCCGGCACAGCCACAGTAAGTCAAGGTTTTGGCTATTTTTAAAGCTGTGTATTTAGAGTGACGTGTGTTTTTTTTTTAATAACGTCGGTTCTTATGTTGCACTTAATAATTCTGCATTTCACTTGTACTGGAATTGCTTGCATTTTAAAACTTGTCGGTATTAGTGAATATTAGTCTTCTGCTTTTGGAGCCTCATATGATGTTTGGGAACATTCTGGAATCTGTAGTCCCTTTTTTATAATATCAGTCAGACAGATTTGTCAACAGCATGCCCATGAGTTGTATAGATTAGGAAAGCCAAGGGGTGGAAAAAAAAAAAAAAAAGAAAAAAGAAACACAAATAGTAACTCATTTTGTGATTTTTACTGTACTCTGTATTTTTTGACAGACATGAGCAGAAACCTTTCATAGAAATACTTGTTGAATGATACTATGTTGAAATTACTTGAGTGTATGAATGAGTATTATGAAGAGCATATCTGCAACGCTCCAGAGAGTTTGTTCGTGCACTCTTCACCAAAAGTTGTGGGGGGAGTCTGTGCTCAACAAAGTGTAAATAATAGACTTGTATTTGATTTATATATGAAGTTCAGAAGTGTTATGAATTATGCAAGAGACTCCTCAGACAGCCCTGTCCTGTAATTTAAAAGTCACGTATTTCATACATGGATAGTGCAGTGCTTCTGTTTTAATTCTTGATTGGAACCCAGTATGCCCAGTGCCCAAGGCTAGTAGATTTCTGAGCCACTGACTACCTGCATGACAGATGTAGGATAGAGCACAGAACAGATAACTCATTGCAGTTTGGACTTATGCTTGAAGCAGCCCTACCTATTAGCTGTCATTGTCCTTGCTACAGCCATGGTCCATACTTCATCTTACTGTTCTTTACTCCCCTCCAACCTCAAGTCTTCTCCACCAGGGCAAGAGAAAAGGGAAAGCACATACCATTAAATGAGTTTCTGTGGAGACTTGTGTGTCCTGTCACATCACTAATTTCTTTGTATGGAAATAAACAAGAAATTAAAATACTAGTATTTTATATTCTGTATCTAGAAGGCTGGGAATTACCTAGGGCACTTGCATCTTATTATATTAACCTCTGAGGAAAGAAGAGGAAGTCCTTGTAATGGGTCTTTAAGAAAGGATACGAAGATTTTTCTGTATCCCTATGGCAAGGTCATCACAGATTTATTAATACTGAGCAATGAGTGTTGTGCCTCTAAACATTCAATCACATACTAAACAAAAAACAACTAACCATACAAAAAACGGTGAAAAAATTCACCAAAGAATATTCCTTGCTATTATCATGAACTGTTTGTTTATGATCACGAACCCCACCTTGGGAGATGCCTTTGTGAATTAGTTACACAGTTTCGTGGTCTTCACAGTAGAATGTTTAATTCTTTTACATTTGACTTGACATATTTTTATTGCTCTGATTGGCTGTTTGCTGACAATGTGAGAAAGTTGAAGAGCATCCTATTTTCCTGTATCACATAGTTTTCTGTATAGCTCCACAGTGTCCTCTTTTATATATCCCTTTGCAAAGTTAACTTTGGTTCTTTCCATCTTTTTAAGTTTTCTTCCCTGGTCTTTTTTGAAAACTGTTGCCAAATGCCAGTGTCAGTGATTTAGAGTAGAAATTCTAAGCAAGTAGATAATCCTGAAAGTTATTATTAAATTATTATTAAAAGTATCATCTTTTCTGTTGTCCCTATCTAATTCTTTCAACTTATTTTGTTCTTTTAACTGCTGTTGTACACTGATTAGGCTGCTGTGATGCCCAACTCAGCCTTTTTGTGCTTTAGACCTGTTGGTCTGTTGCTGTTCTGTTCTGAAGAAAAAGTCTGTATTTGTGAAAATCAGTGATAAAACACCTATCGATGTGAGTAGGGCTGAACACATCCCTTGTCATTTACGGCTTTCAGTTTATTGTTTGCTCTCCTGTTTTTGATCTTTCGGTTTGAAGGAGCGTTTTCCTCTTTATCAGAAATGTTGGGTGCATGTTTTTCCATCATTTTCTGTGGCAAGGACTGATGACAAGAGATCACTCGGATTGTCTGTGATGCCCTTATCGTTTTCAAGTGTTTTATTCAATCCTAGCTCCAACAAATCCAATGATTCCCCTGAAAGTTCTGAGATAGTAGTAGGCTTAACTCCTATTTGTTTTTGTACCCTTTGCAGTCTGGTCTTCTGATTTCCTTATTGCCTTACTAATTTGCAGCCTGCATTTTACTTGTCATATACTTCCTCTCTTCTGGCTTCACTAGGAGTGATTTTTCATTCTCTGAAGGATGATCCTTCAATTCTACTAACTCTTTGTATTTTGAGAATTTGCTGTGTTTGACTCTTTTTATAATGGATCTTTTTCTTGCCTTTCTATTTATTTCCCTTCTTACAGAGAAATGCGTGTAACTTCCTTTAAATAGTTCCCCTGTTGTTCATAAAACATTAGATTTCCTTGCTTTTAACATTAGGATATTTTTGAGAGTTATTAAAAAAAAAAAAAGTTGCCTTTCTAAATTGCAGTGTTATACTGGAAGTTGTAGAAACTATCCCTCTCTGCAAAAGCGTACGCTGAAAGTACCATTTGCTGCCCTGACCTTCTGTGCACTTCAACTCAATTGAGCACCTTTAATTAGTTTTTGTAAAACGAGTCTGGCTGCTCTATCAGCAAGTGTGCCATTTTTCTTAGATTTAGCTCTTTATTACATTCCTAAATTCTTATCAGTTGACAAACAGTATTTTCTTTCTTGCTTCTGCTCACATTTACTACCCAGAGCTTTGAAAATTGCAAGTAGGAGATGCGTAACTTCTTGATACTGTTAAGACTTCTCTGCATATCTTGTTCAACTACAATTTAATGGATATCTGTTTAGCTGTGATTAGGATTAGAGATGCTCTTCTATTTCCAAAAAGTCTTTTTTGTGGGTTTGTTTGTTTGTTTGTTTTTAATGTTACTTCACTCTATATTTTGTTAGGAAAAGTTTTGAAAATGAGTGGTGCTTAGTAGGTGACTCTGTACTTTGATATAATGAAACAGGAGAAAATGTACAGGGTGAGAAGGGAAGTAAATATTAAAGGACAGGATGGTTTAACTGAAACAATATAAAATAATCTGTGCATGATAAAATAGTCTGATTTTATTTGGAGTCTTCTCTGAATCAGATGATTTTCATCCTTTGGATCAATATGTTTATTTAAATTTAATCAAGGAAGTAGTCTATATGACTATATGCTTAGTCAATACTCATCTAGTCCTGGGTTCTCCTGTGAGGTTAAGTGCTAGTAGATTTTTGGAGTTGCATAGCATCAAACGTACTTTAAGTCATTAACAAACACAATAAGTTGTTTCTTTCAAGAAGGGTGGATCAATAATAAGAGTGTAACAAACTTATGATTAAATAACATCTGAAAACTTTTCCTGGTAGTTCTGAGTGTTACGTTACAAAATTTAAAATATTTTTAATAGATTCCATCACTGTAGGAAATGTATCACCTTTTCACGTGTACATATATCTATGTGAATGTACTGTTTATGTATTAGATCTGAGAAGAAAACTTGTTCAACTTTTGTTTCTGTTTTCTGTACAGTTTCCATTGATGTCAGTTGGAGATGGATTTGTAAATATAAAGTGCATTAAGTCTGTATGTAAAAGAAAGCAGATAATAGTGAACTTTGTTTCTCTATTGCTTCCCCTTGAAAGTGTATTATACTAGTAGTAGAAGCAAATATGGTAAAAAAAAAAAAAAAAAAAAAACTGGTTTGTGCCATTCTGATTTTTATGTATGTGCGTATGTTAAAAAAAAATCACCTCTAAAGTTAATTATGCTTCTGATTTAGATAAACTGTGAGATCATTCTTTAGTCTCTCTTCCTTGACATGTAATGTCACCAGATTTTGCAAGTTGAGGTACATTTCTTAAGTTGTATGTGTGGACAGGCATCCTTAAGTAAAACAAAGCTGCTTTGAGATGTTTGCAGTTGGCTGGAATCAATGTAAAGCATGGCACTGGGGCTTGCAGTGCGTCTGAACTCCTTTAGAAGACCTGAAATGAAGCTGCGTAAGTCCTGTGCAGTGGTTAAGTATCAATTTGCCAACTACCAAAATTCCTCACGTAGCACTCACTGAACTTGATGCTCTTCTCTGTAAATATAGTTGGTGTGCTGGATAAAAATGTCTATTCTTACAGTTGACCTGCTTTTACTTTGCATTTTTCCATGTCCTTTGGGAATTGATGGTTTGAAAATGTGTCATTTTCTTTTCTTGGTGTTGTGTCTGGGTTTGTGCATTCTTAATCATGTTGCAGGAACCATCTCATAGGGATTTGGAAAGGCTTAGTGATACTCTAGGCTGGATGATCATTTGCCATGTTGAACTTGATTATTTTGGTGAAGAGATTGTTGTTTTTTTTTTTTTTTTCCCTACTGATTTCTATGTTGAGCTTTTTTAATTTGGCCAAGAAAACTGGATGGAAAAAATATTCACACGAAAGTGCTTAAGTGTATCACCCAAGCTCACAGATGGGTAGATTGCTCCTATAGTTCTTCATATAAATGACTGGTATGCTGTGTGTTTTTTACCCTTTTTTATTCACCTTAGTTATCCTTTTTCTATCCAATTGCTTTGTTCGTGGTCTGTCTACCTTCCTGATGTGGAAGTGCATTAGTTCTTTCAGGAAACTGTATTTCATGATTAGCAGTAAGCTATATCCTGCTTGTCTTAGAGGTGTTCATCAGTTCTCATTTTTACAGCAGTGCTAATGAAGCAGAGATACTTAGAATGAAGTTGTCTTCAGTTTGCTCATTTGTCATGTAACTGTAATTGTGTTCATTGGCCTAGAGGTAGGCTTTTCTTCAGTCCGCTACAACAAGAAACTGTTTGGAGTGCAGGACGCTTCTAGATGCTGCTGAGTTCAGCTGGTATTAAACTTCTCACTGAATATTCTGCTAATGCCGAATAACTTTGCATATTACATCTTGCACGTAGATCCTGGATCTGCCTCTTT